AAATGCCGACGCGTGGCTTCTCGTCGACAAGATTCTCGAGCACGCCAGCTATCCACAGACGAAATGCAAGCCCCCGCCTACACAAGGAATGAAGAGTTAGGATGGCTAACAACCAAGCAGACATTGGACTTCAGGTATTGGACAACGTGATCAATACAAGATGGCGAGTCCTGCCGCGCGATCAATGTCAAGGTGCGTGAAAACTTTTACTGTCCATACAAGAGCGCAAAATGACTCTCGCAGGCATCCGAAATTTCGTCGTCAACTTTATCATTCAAATGTCAGGTACCGAAGAAAGCCTCCGCCAGCAGCGCGCCCTCATAACCAAGCTGAACATGACGCTGGTCAACATCCTCAAGCAAGAATGGCCGCACAACTGGCCCACGTTCATCAACGAGATCATCCAGTCCTGCCACAGCAGCATACCCATTTGCGAGAACAATATGGTCATCCTGCGATTGCTGTCCGAGGAAGTCTTCGATTTCTCTGCCGACCAGTTGACATCCACAAAGACGAAAGAGTTGAAGCAAAGCATGTGCGATGAGTTCACGGCAATCTACCAGCTGTGTTCGGAGATCTTGACCACCGCTTCACAAGCCAGCTTAATCAAGGCAACACTAGAAACGCTCCTCCGGTTTCTCAACTGGATTCCTTTGGGTTACATTTTTGAGACGCCTCCTTCGGGCGTGAGCTTGATTGAGACACTGCGCAGCCGCTTCTTGGAAGTCCCAGATTTCCGCAATATCACCTTGAAGTGCTTGACTGAAATCGCCAGTCTACACGTCGACCCAATCTACAATGAAAAGCTCGTACAAATGTTCACAGATACCCTAACCGCAATATCCAAGATTATTCCTTTATCACTCGACCTCAAAGTCACCTATTCGAGCAGCAATGGCCGCGACCAAGAATTTGTACAGAATCTCGCCCTCTTTCTCACTACCTTCTTTACCATGCATTTGTCCGTGATCGAGACCTTGCCGAACCAAGAGTTCCTCCACCACGGCCACTTCTACCTCATCCGTATCAGCCAGATCGACGACCGAGAGATCTTCAAAATTTGTCTGGAATATTGGACTAAGCTGGTCTCTGAGTTGTACGACGAGCAACAGCAGCTGCCTGTCAGCGACATCAACCCTCTCCTAAACATGGGCGGTCTTTCTGGGTTGGCAAATGGCAACAGCCGTGAAGGCTTCAACTTGCGCAAGACCAAATACACCCAGGTTCTCACAAATTTGCGAATGTGCATGATTGAAAAGATGGTGCGTCCTGAGGAAGTACTCGTAGTGGAAAATGATGAGGGTGAGATCGTCCGCGAGTTCGTCAAGGAAAGCGATACAATCCAGCTCTACAAGAGCACGAGAGAGTGCCTTGTTTTCCTCACCCATCTAGATGTTCAGGACACCGAGACTATCATGTCCGAGAAGCTTGCCCGTCAAGTAGATGGTTCCGAGTGGTCATGGGCGAACTGCAATACCCTTTGCTGGGCTATTGGTTCTATCTCTGGTGCTATGAACGAGGAGACTGAGAAGCGATTCTTAGTGACTGTGATTAAGGACCTCCTTGGTCTCACCGAGATGAAGCGCGGCAAGGACAACAAGGCTGTTGTTGCCAGTAACATCATGTACATCGTGGGACAGTACCCACGTTTCCTCAAGGCTCACTGGAAGTTCTTAAAAACTGTGGTCAACAAGTTATTTGAGTTCATGCACGAGACTCATGAAGGTAAGCACGGTTTTATGGTTTGTTTCAACATGCACTCAAATAGCTGACCTCTTAAAGGAGTACAGGACATGGCTTGTGATACTTTTATCAAGATCGCCAACAAGTGCAGGAGACATTTCGTTGCGCACCAGCCAGGCGAGGCTGAGCCATTCATTGATGAAATCGTTCGAAATTTGCGCCGCATCACTTTGGACCTCTCGCCTCAGCAGGTCCATACCTTTTATGAGGCTTGCGGTTATATGATCTCAGCTCAAGGTCAGAAGAGCATTCAAGAACGACTCATCTCAGATCTGATGGCAATTCCGAACCAGGCTTGGGACAGCATAATTATCAACGCAAATCAGAATCCAGCCTCTCTTCAGGACCCGGAAACCATCAAGATCATTGGCAATATCATGAAGACTAACGTAGCCGCATGCAGCTCGATTGGAAGCTATTTCTATCCTCAGATCGGCCGCATCTATCTGGATATGCTGACAATGTACCGCGCAGCCAGCGGTCTCATCGACGAGGCGGTCCAGCGTGAAGGACCTATTGCAACCAAGATGCCGAAGGTTCGCGGCCTGCGCACTGTCAAGAAAGAAATCCTCAAGCTTGTCAACACATACGTCGAGAAGGCTGATGACCTTAACATGGTCCACAGCACACTAGTGCCTCAATTGCTGGAGGCGATTCTCACTGACTACAACCGAAATGTTCCAGATGCACGGGAGCCTCAAGTTTTGGAGGTGATGACCACGATCATCAACAAGTTACACGTACGTTGGAGACCCAATCTTAGCAGACATATGGTCCGCTAGCTCTTTTGGCTCGATCGAGATGATGCTAACATTTGATAGAGCTTGATGGAAGATCAGATCATGCCAATCATGGACAGCGTCTTCGAATGTACGCTCGACATGATCAACAAAGACTTCTCGGAGTTTCCCGAACACCGGGTCGAGTTCTTCAAACTGCTCCGGACAATCAACTTGCGCTGCTTCCCTGCGCTCCTCAAGCTGGACGGCCGTCAATTCAAGTTTGTCATTGACTCATGCATGTGGGCTAGCAAGCACGACAACCGCGAAGTCGAGGGCGCTGGCCTCGCAATGTGCAACGAGCTCATCTCCAACATGGCCGAAACTGACCCTCAAGTCTGTAATACATTCTTCGAAAACTTCTTCACCACGATTCTTCAAGACGTCTTCTTTGTCCTCACCGACAGCGATCACAAGTCTGGCTTCAAGTCACAGGCTACTCTGTTGGCTAAAATGTTCTGGCTGGTCGAGTCCAACAAGCTCCAGGGTCCTATCTACACGTCCGATCTCGCACCTCAAGGCACACCTAACCGCGAATTCCTGCGACAATTTGTGGGCAATTTGCTAACCACTGCGTTTCCTAACCTTACTGCGGCTCAGATCTCCAACTTCATCGATGGGTTATTCGCAACGAACACCGACCAGACCCGCTTCAAACTCATCCTCCGTGACTTCTTGATCTCCCTCAAAGAATTCTCCGGCTCGGACAATGCTGAACTGTTTGCCGAGGAGCGTGAGCTCGCGGCGAAGAACGCCAAAGACCAGGAGCGCGAGCGTGCCATGAAGGTAGGAGGTTTACTCAAGCCATCTGAGCTTGACGATGACGAGTTGTGACGGGACGATCTCGACCTGCCAATCGAGAAAGCAACACGCTCACAATGGGATCGACACGGCATGGCGCGATCGTCATCAGACCATCCCACGATCTCTGGAGAAGAACAGATCGATGACTGGTACGCGTTGTAAAGGAACAAAAAAGGGACAAGTAACGAACAGGAATGAAGATGCAATGCTTCTGGATTCGAAAAGGAAGAAAATAGAGCATGGATGAAGTAGCTCGTGTTTGTCAAAGGTGCATTTGAAACAGTCATAGCAGGGGCGCGTTGTCTGGAGTCTGATTCTTTTTTCCTCTTTCTCGTGCAGGAGAAGGCTCGAAGGCATGCAACAATGTGTAGTTGTTCTCTCCTCTCTTGGTTTTCGCTTTGCACTTCTCTCAGGGACGAGATGGGGTTTTCCGGTGGGCGCCATAGATATCCTACAGTGAAGACCTCGAGGCGTCCCTTCTTTGTCCAGGGAGGACTTTTAAGAGGCTGGTACCTTTGTGAGGTCGTTTTCGGCGAAGAAATCAAAGACATGCGAATACGTATTCTATGATTGCAGTCCCTGACTTGTGCTTGTTGCTTGGTCTTCTTAGATTGTCTCACTTCATCATCGTTGCCTGTTTTGTGAGTATCAAGTCACAGGGTCGCTTTTTCTTTTCACGCATGCCTAGATTGCTCGTTTCCCTTGATCAAAAATGGCTCATCCGTGTTCTGAGCTCGTATGTTGATGGTGTTGCCATTGTTTGGCTTGAGATTCCTCGGAAGAAATCCATTGGGCGGTGAGAGCCTACCAGATCGGTTCTTGCGGGGGGAGATCGTGAAGGGAGGTTGGTTCCTCTTGATCCGAGGGACATTATCGCGAGAACCCGAGGGATTTGATTCGGGATCTGCGTCACCTGGACTTTACCATTCACCGTTGATGGTTTAGGAAGGATTTCTTGCGGTGAAGATTGGAATTAGATAGGTTGCTTTTCAGGTGATGATTTGCGCCATGGGTTGTCGTTTGGATGCGTGGACGAGGGATTGATCGGATCCATCTTGTGATCGCGATAAAGGTCTTCTCAGTTCTGTTTGCTGTGGGCAGGGAGGGGAGGGATGGCTGGATCACGATTATGAGGGGAAGGGAACGAATAAGCATTCGTGTTGGGTTTGAAATCGGGAGGCTGGTGTTATAGTATGTAAGATTACCACAGTATTGCAGGTGAGCAATTATTGAGGATCGATACAACCTAGAATCCGCTCACACACGATAGACCTGATGATCTGGGATTGCATCTCCTATCCTTGACGAACATCTTGATAAGAATATGGATTTCTTGGTAGCGAGGGAGGGGATGGCACTGCGCAATATCTTCGTGAATCTGAAGATTCGATTCGATTGTCCCAGCCTCGTCATTCAGGTTGCATCACGATGGATCTTGATGCTTACATCTTTCGATAGATCTCGAGATCCACGAGTCGATAGGTCCATGTGATTGTTTCGAAATCGAGATAATTCTTTACCACGCTCTATGGATTCGGAATTTACCGCGCGACATCAATCGAGGTGCATCCTGCTATCGCATCGCACCGGGCCCTCTTTCCTGCAACCCATATCTCCTTGCCTGCTCTGGCTAGATCTTGATCTATGAAAACACTATTCACAGCGCTCCAGCTTGGGTGGTTGGCGCAATGGTAGCGCGTTGGTTTTCGGTAGCCTCGAGAGGCCATAGTTGATCACCAAAGGTTGAGGGTTCGAGCCCCTTGCTGCTCGTTTCGATGCGCCTTTGCAACAGCTCAGCTGTTGGTTCGACGTTTTCTTTTTGCTGTTTCCCAGCGGTGGTTGAGTGGGGCTCGTTTTTTGAGGTGGAGGAATTGGTGTGGGGCAGCAGCGGGATTGTGAGTGAGGGATACTTGGGAGACGAGGACGTCATAAGTGGAACATTCTTGTGCGATAGTGAATTGCATCCACTGAAAATTCAACACATCGCTTCGAAAGTTTGAAAATTTCATCTTTATTTGCTGAACCGGATTTTTGTGTGGATAGACCGACACCGGCCGGCCGGCTTCTCTGAGGGACCTACTAACAGTACTCTTTGCCAGAAGAAGGGCACAATCTTCATACATGTATGATTGATTCCTAATGGATCATTCTCGTGGCTACTGGATATGGCCGATGATGTATTTCTCATTCTCGCCTGTGAGATCAGAATCGGCCGTGTAGCGAAGACGGGCTGCATCTCAACCAAAAATGATTATGATGCCACTTCGAACATTTTGATGGGAACCATTTGTGGCCCTTTTGTGGTCCTCCACGTGAAAACGCAAAGGGAAGATGGGATCGATGCTGCCTCTCTTTTTCATTCCACGGCAGTCAGTCCTCTACATAGTTCGGGATAAGGAGTGGGACTTGAGCTCGGAAACGAAGCTTTGTCATGTTATTGACAAGCTTGAAGGTGTGGTCTGCGAGTGGCCGAAAATTCACGCTGACGAACATGGTAAGCCGAGTCCGAATCCTTCATGCTCATCTTACGTGGTTACTTTTTCGTGATGATCGAATATCGGACCCGTCATAAGGCGCTTATTGCCAACGACATGGAGAGTTAGTCATAGCTACATCGAGCAGAAGAAGATTGAGGAAGCTCGAAGCAGCGCGAGCTAGAGTCTTCTCTAAGATCACGAAAGCCAATTATGCGGACGTCGTCGCAAATGGAGACACAGGAGCGGATAATTTGGAGATTACTGCACAATAAGGGTATCATCCATGCATGTAAGACGGCTGAACTCAAATCCAAAGATAGAAGTGCCTGACTTTGCGTCATGTTCCTCGATCGCGGTCGGACGTCTACTCGCGTACAAGGAGATGAGGATTGGCAGGTGATGCTCTCCGGATTGGCGGATAAGGCTTCTCGACTGGACCCCACGAGGGCGGTAGGTTGTATGAAAACAAAGCACGTCGCGTTACGTTGAAGACATCTGCACGATTTCGATAGAGCCGAATGCAGTGCTCGCAGTCGCTGTCCAAGGTGAAATCCTTGCTTTTCCACATGAACATACGACTTGAAGACACTGTGGAGGCGCAATCAGACAATCGCAGATGGGCATCGTGAGCCGCCTGTCAAGCTCGTGTCAGATGCGCGGCCGGGGGCGCGTTCCTGGTGCCAAAGGAAAAAGATGACCAAGCCATCGGGTGCGTTGAAAAGCGTAATGGAATCCTTGGAAATCGTGCAAGGGGACTCTTGTGCTGACAGACCATTTGTTGTGGAGAAGGTGAAAACACTGTCTGCGTGCTTGTTCTGCATGGGATTCTAGCGCATGCAGATCTACCGCTGGTTCTCTTCTAGCGGTGGGGTAAAATTGTTGGTCTCTGGGACAACTCCACGAGTCTCCCGTGTCAAATTACGAATTGTTATTGTGTCGTTCACCTATTTGTTTACACACCTCGACACTAAGCTACCTGAGTAGGAGAAGCTCTTTCGGTGGCACCGAGATTACAGCCGGTATGAGAAGCATGAGGTAGTGAGCCATAAATGGAGAACCGAAGAGTGTTCGGCCGAGCCGTCTCCGACAAGTGGAGTCTGAACGTGGAGAATGGATCTTTCCATTATTCTGGGTCGTCCTCCAGAAATGTTCTCCAGAAGCGAAAGACGATTAGATGAAAACTGGAGCCCGTGACTATCGAATTTGGATGCATCGGGAAGCTGAAGGATGCAGTCCCTGGTCCCGAAAGTCGCCGGGGGATTATCGATGGCGGTCGAAGCCGTGCAAGTGGACCAAGGCCCAAACCCCCAAGGATGCAGCTTTTGGTCAATGACAAGAGCCGAGGAGCTCACCGCAAGGAATCTACACCAGCGCCGGAGTAGGGAAAGGTATCTTGTTTAGACTTTGTCCTCGCTTGCGCGTCTTCTGCAGGTTAATCGTATCGATGCATGTTGAGTTGTCGACAATTCTGCTGCCGCCGCAAGGTTGGAAGATGGCATTTTCCGCGTCCATGGTAGTATTACTGCAGGGCTCCAAGGCATTTCATTATCGACCTCAGGCTACTTCCACCACCTCTCTCCACCAAAAGGGGAAAAGCCGAGATCAACAAGTAGTTTCTGCAAAGAACCCCGGCAGTCGGTCTGGGATGTGTGCTAGATGATGGATCGGTGGGCGGAGGTTGGGCCCGTGGCATCTGTCCGAAGGATGGCGACAGATGACTCGCTGTAAACATTCTGTTTCAACGTGCTGCGAGGCCTGGCATCGACTCAGGTAAAATTTCACAACTCAGAGGGCGATTCATGGAGCATCAGCGTTTCGAAACGTGACGAAATGCAGTTTCAAAACAGAACGACCGTGGTCAGGGTCGGGCCATTGGGAAATGGGAGATGGCGAATGGGAAATGGGAATTGGGAAATGGGCTGATGGTTCTGACCTGATGCCAAATGAAACCAGGCCCCAGGCGCAGGCCCACCCGGCCGGGAGCAGAGCTCTTCCCTGAGCAATCGATGTTTGTTTGTTGTTGTTCGGGCGATGAACCAAACTTTCGCGATTCGTCACGGTAAATCACTTTTCGAAAAGGGCGAGGAGCTGTCAGTGCAGGTGGTCATGTCTTGGGTGAATTCTGGCATGGCGCAGCTTGTCACCACTCTGTCAACACAGCATGGCAGCCGCAGTGGGAAACAGCTGCGTGGGAAATGGAGGTTGAGACAAAGTCAGTGGACAGCAGGGCACAGCGCAAGTAGTGTGAAGACTGCTGCAAGGGCTGGCTTCAGTACTGTCAATGATAATGGCCTGGCAGGCAGCACAGCACAGCACAGCACAGCACAGCTACAGTGTTGTTGTTGTACTCCCGCAGCGCATACCCACCCCGGTATGGAGAGCAGCGGGCTACGGACCAAAGAACGATGGTCAAAGTCGGAAAACAGCCGTTAGTGCAGGTTGCTCCAGAATCCAGAGTCCAGTGCTCTGTTGGCCCATGGCGGGAACAGGGTCGACCCCAGTGAGGTCTTAAGGTTGGGTTTTTCACCGAGAACCGAGTACCATAGCAGGAGCATAACCTCCGACCACTAGTAGATCCGTCTTTACCAGAGCCCAAGTATGTCGTCGTCGTCGTCCTGGCTGATGGGCGGGCGAGCAGAGAGTTTCTGTCCCATTCATCCATTCATTAATCCATAACATATATTTCCCCCCCAGACAGTATTCCACCACGAGGCAGTGAGGTCGACCCATCACCGCCATTCCTTGCCATGTCCCATATCCCATCATAGTTCCCATCATAATTATCACCATCATCATCATCATCGTCGTCGTCGTCATTGCTGCCAGCCGTTGGCCGTCACCTCAGCTTGACAAGACAATTGAAACGGTCGCCATTGCCACAAGACGTGCTGTCACCCAGACTTTGAGCCACTGCCACTACTACTGCTACTCCCACCACCGACTATCCCAATACTGATTATTCCCGCCCACATCAACAAACAAACACGGCATTTCCCCCACCACATAGCCTGTCGCAAACGTGCGACGGTCCAACCAGTCTACCAGAGCCACTACCACTGCCGCTGCCACTGCCACTGCAGACTTTTTCGCGCGCTGACTCGTTCCGCGACAAAGACAACACGCGCTGTCCGCTTGCAGCGACTGCTGTTTCGTGGCACCAGATTCTGCGCAATAACCAGACGCGCCAGTTCCCAGAAGGTTTCTTTATACAGCAGACACGGCCCTCGCCCCAGACGCCATCTCGCGACTGGACTTCCCCATCCAGCCCTCCCGTCCTCTGCCTCCAACATAAGTAATGGGATCATAACCCCAATCAATATCAACAACAATGCGCGATCTCAAACCTCTCCACCTGCCGGCAATTGTCGCTCGAAGAACTCGATCATTCACGCAAGGCGACGATCCCTCTCACACATCCGCTCTCTCAATCTCGACTTCGGCTTCCTCCTACTACACCTCCGATGGCTCCACGCCCCCGACCCCCACCTTTTCGCTTCGGAGCCACTCGAGATTTCCGAGTTCGAGTTCCTCGTTAGCCTCGTCAGCCACCTCTCCCGTCTGCGAGCATGGCGATGTCACGAGTTCAGCGACAAAAATTCCCATGCCCAAGTTGACAGAGGAGCCAACTGAGCACGACGAGTCCACTTCTGAGGATTACGATCGTTTCCAGGATTCTTTCAGTTCATGTAAGTGTTTTCCACGCGCAAAGTGGAGACAAGTCTAACCACCGCACCAGACGATCTGGATAGCGGTGATGAAGGCGACCAAAGTACGCGCACTACGGTCTTGTTGCGCGACAGCCATTTTTACGATTTGGACTCGGAGCTTTTCGGTGATGAGAACGACGCTGCACGATCGCGCGCGCTCAAGCGTCAAAAGTCCAGCGACTCACCGCTCCACAGTTTCTCGTTCAGCAGCAAACTCGGTGAGCGCTTCCCGTCCTTCACCAAGCGCTGGAGGAATCGAAGGCCAGCCCGACTGGTCACTGGTCTTGGAATCCAAAGTGTGCCCGCGTCGCGGCCCGCCTCTAGCAGGACGTCTTCCATCAGCAGCATTTACCACTTCCAAAGCTTTGATCAAAACGATGAGATGCCTGTGACACCAGCTATGTCTTATGCTGGCGACATGAGCAATCCAGTATCTCCTATCGACATCGCGCGGCCCATGGAGCTTCCTCAACAAGATCAGACTTTTGCCACGACACCTCTGCTACCACCGATGATGAACCCTCCTGTCGACAAGGAAGTGCGTGTCCAAAGCCCATTACAGTCTCCGACTATCGCCGATCCTGAC